TGCTCAACTTGGCACAGGTCGCGATCTTAACAAACTCACGATTTAAAACTAGTTGTCGGGAAACTCGATGTGGAAACCAAAACTTGGTTCTTGGCATTTTAATTTGATGTTTACTCCAAAACGCTTCCATGTTGGGCATCAAGTACCAACATCTTGGGCATGGCTCCATTGGCACTGGCCACATGCACCCCATGTCCACAGAAACTGGCATCGGACATGCGCCAGCTCTATGAACCCTTATAGCACATCTCTAATAATCTGACAGGATGCTTCTGTACTTCTTGGCTGCATTGGCAGCTATCATTATAATGCTGTTGCTATGGCATATTGAGTTATTGGAGAGAATGTGGTGGCACTTACGCTGGCAGAGAAAAGAAGGGCGTTGATCTTGTACCTACAATGCTGGGCATTCCTCCAGATGTCTGAAACAGCTCTGACCTGGACTGGCATGGTCTGGTGTCATTGCCCCACTGTTGATCCTGGGGGAAGAGGAGATCCAGCAGGTGCACCACCCCATGCAACAGGAACTCCAAGGCCATGCCCACAAAGTGGAATGTCTGTTTTCCCTCTTCCATGTCTGGGTCAAATGCCAGGAATCATGCAAGGTAGCTCCAGACTAACAGTATTTGTCTAGACATATGATGACCTTTTAAAGATGGTATGGGCACCAAGATGCTAGTCAATTCCAAGATCTCCACTGAGTGGGCAGTTGCTGCAAGGATAGCGCATGGCAAAATGGCGTGGAAATAGAACATGATACCATAAGGATTGAAATGGTCAATTAATGTGGCTATGCTTTTGCACTTAACCAACAAACCATAACATTCAGCCAAATGAGTTAGCCTGGATAGTTGTGTCTCAGGGAGAGACTGTAATGAAGAGAATCACATTGGTTGAACGTGCAGGAAACCACTGAAAGAAAATATTTGGAAACCTTCCAGTTCAGTAAGAAATTTTTGAGTGGAGATAGGAGTGATACTTCACTGGGTTTGAGTGTCTATAAAATTGCTGAGGACAAAAGGATTGAAGTTTCTATTTTGTTGTGGCAAAATCTTCCCAATTTTTCACATATATAGCATTCTTTTTTGTGTGTGATCAACTTATGCTCCTTTGTTAAAAGTACAATGACAGCCACTTATGAGTATGTTAAGTGATTGATCATAACTGTAATAAAATTCCAGAAGTCAAACATTGCAAGTTCAAATGGGACATCCTAGGGAAATTGTACAAACACTGCAATTTATTCTGGGATTTAATCACAAACATTAGAAGTCAAAGGGAAATGCAGTTAACAGGTTCATAATGGCTTTGTATATAGATGATCTGCAATAATTTAAATATTCAGCATTAAAATAAGTGACTGAATTAGATGTGTTTCAAATCATTAAATGCAGTAATGTTGCATGTTACAGGGTTCTCCATGTTGTTGATATTTCAGAACAATATTTTGGTGGCTTTGAAATTGTCATAACTATTTTTTTTTCTTAAAGTTTCTGCTTTTCCTATGAATAATCAAAATATTCTGCAAGAAATTTACTTTTGTCACATCACCAGAGGAGACTTATTTGTGGCCATTTTGTGTCATTCAAATTTGATTATCACCAAATGTACGTCACAAATACCATGCTTCTAAGTGCCTTGCAATATAACAAAATACAGCAAGTGTGTCAGTCAGAACTCTGGCAAGTTAAAATATAGGTAAAAGTCACCCAGCTGATTTTGGTTCAGCTCTTTGCTGAGATACTCCAAATTTAAGATTAATGTCCCATTCTCACTTGACAGTGTTGTCCTTGTCAGTTTCTAGTACTTACCCAAAAGCTGAACCTGGTTTGTTGACACGACAACCACAGAGGGTGCACTCCCCATCCTTGTACTGCCAACGTTGTCAAAGTCAGTGATGACTCAGATATCAACAATTGCAAAAACCTAGCAAGAATGAGTTAATGCTTTGAATGGCTTCAAGCAATAATGTACATGCCATATTAACATTTCAGATGTCAAAGTGTCAAAAGACTAGATATTGTAACTGATGGGATGTGTCTCAGAGAAAGTTAATAAAGTGTAATGCTGAGGGAAAAAACATTTCTGGAGGAGAGAGGAGGGAGGAACTTGTCTTCTATGCTGGAGCGGTGGAAAGGGCTCAGGAAAGATATAGTGATGGCTCAAGGCAGTGGAGGAAGCCAGTCATCAGTGGACAGGACAGCTCCCTGAACTGAAGGCAGTGAGAGGCCGAGGTGAAACAGCTGATACAATGGAGGTCACAGCTGAACAGGCAGTATCAGCATTGGTATAGACATAATTCAGTAGCTGTTGAGTACACAGTAATGAAATCAATGGTGAGGGAAACCATGCATTCACCAGCTGAGACAGTGAGAGTCGAGTGCACATATGAAAGATGTTCCCGGTGCCTTGCCGATTGCATCCAATATCAAAGTGTTGTCCACTTGTCCCTGGAAAAGTAAATTTGTCTCTGCCTCAGTTAATCCTGTGGAGTGCCTACCAGTTATTTTCATTAAAATATATATCCTAACCCCTCTCCTCACTCACTATGGCCATTTCATATTTTTGCAGTGAATTTTCAAATAGAGGAAATTGTCTTTCCAATTAAATTTACCAAATCTTCTCATAATTATAAACACATCTACTAAATGTTCTTTTCTTTCATTTAAGGGATGTAAGCTACAATGTCAAAGTCAGCATTTGTTGCTCATACAATGAGTTAAAAACCATGTTAGGAGCCACTTTCTTGAACCATTGTAGTTCATGTCATGTTAATACACCCACAGTGCTGCTAAAGAGAAGGTTCCTTAATTTTCAGCCAGTGACGATAAGGGGATTGTAATCAAAGCCAGAACAGTGTGCATCTTGAAGGTGAATTTGCAGGTAGTAGCGTTTGCTGTACATGTGCTGCCCTTATATCTCTGTCTCAACGAGGTCACGATTTGAAAGTGCTGTTGAAACATCTTTGGTGAGTTGCTGAAATTTTTCTTGGAGATGGTGCATATTGCTGCCATGTGTACCTATGGGAGAAAGGAATATGTTTTTAACATGGTGGAGTGAATGTAAATGAAGCAGAGTGCTTTGTTCTGCATGGTGACATGCTTCTTGACTGCTGTTGGAGCAGCATTCAGGCAAGTAAGAATAATCCATCATACTCCTGCCTTGTACCTTCTCAATAGTAGGCAGGCATTCAGTTGTCAGGATGAGAGTTACTTGCCACAGAGTATCCCAAACTCTGAAATGTTCTTGTTGGAGGGAGGAGAGGGAAAAAGGGTTGTGGGGTGTGCAATGTGAAAGTGAATGATTGAAGATGTTGCAGGCAATACTGAGTGCAGCAGAGCATCAGGCTTGCTCAGAGGTGGGGACAGTAAATCTGAGGCAGCAGGCAACAGTGTGTGGCAGTTAGCTGAAGGAACAGAGAAAGTCGGTCTGGCTGTTCCTCTGTACCTTGAGGCCACACTGACCCAGCTGACCCAAGCTGCCAAGTCCTGTGCAACATTCCATCCAGAAAGACCTCTGGGTTTCTGTCTGAAAATTGAAGTGTCACTTTTCCTTTCTGTACCACATTCAGATTCTGTCCGACAATGAGGGAACATGCTTGTGCAGATGCACAGCGGCCTTTTAAAGATGGCATGGACATTAGCAATGCCGGACCTTTGGTGCACATTTTCCAAGCTGCAAATTGTTTTATGAGCGTGTAAGATAGGACCTGAACTAGTTTTGAGAGATGCTATGTGCCAGGGTAGGTAATTAATGCACTGTGCTTGGTGTGCAAGAGAATTTGCAAGGCCTTGTGGAAAAAAATTTCTCAAAAAACTCAACACAACTCGGACTTAACCAAGAAAAAAAATGTAAGATTCAGCCAATTAACTTCTCACTGAGTCAGTGGACTCATATACCCAACCATTGCTTTTGACATTTGCCCAGTAAAATGTTAACCAATTTGAAATCAGTGAACCAGCATCAGGGTTTGAAAGGAAAATGTCCCCTAACTTTGTTGAATGTTTTTTCTTTGCTGTGTTACCAAGAGGTATTTTGAAAACTCTTATAGAAGTTATATAATGTTGATATTTCATATCTTATTATCTAATTTATTTGTAAGATTTCTGAATTATGACTGACATATATGTAGAAAATGAGTAAAATGTCATCTGAGCATCTTTGAAAGAATTTCAAAGTGTTGATGCTGTGGTTTGTTATGAGAGTACATGGTGAATTTGGAGAATCAAAACAAAATAGTGAAACATGCATTTTAAGATTTGACTTATGGAATGAGTTGTATTTGTGATATTGAGGTATGTTTGATGTGCTGAATGAAGAAAATAACAGGTGTCAATTTTATTTTATTGTAATCACCAATATTTCAATGTTTAATATTTTGATGTCATTATTACAGATTGATAATGTTTTGTGTCAGTGTATGTTAGCACTCTGCAAAATAGTTCTCTGTTATAATTTTCAAAGACAAAAAGTTATTTGTAACTTAATATGTTAACAGAATGTATTAGTATGCAAAGCATTTGTATCATATTTATTGTTTCAGAAATCTCATTTTATTTTAGTTTTGTCATTTTCTATCTTACTAAATAGTCAATTTGTCTTCATTAAATTGATAAATAATCTCAATTCATACTGCAACAAAGATTAATTGCTCTGGAAAAGTGAATTGATATCTTGATGATTTAGATTTAGATTTTATTGTCAAGTGTACTCAAGTATAGGAGTACTGTGAAAAGTGTATAAGGTCACCACACATGGACCCATCTTAGGTATAAAGGTACCTAGATACAAAATCTTAGGTACAAAGTCGTAAAAGAAACAAAGTTTAAACAGTTTAGCATGAGCTTCATAGAATAAGTTGAAAAATAAAGAAATAATGTAATAGTTAACATAATATTTGACACCCAAATTGTGCCTATATAGAATGTGTAGAACAGCCCTTAGAGTTAAGTCTGCATTTAAACCAGAACCAGAAACATTTCTGCATTCTATTCCGACAGGTGCTTACCAAATCACTGTGAGCATGGAGGAAGATGCACACAAACCTGGGACACCTTTACGTGTAACTGTGAGGGAACAGGATATTCTGGGGCAACATGCCATAACTGTGAGTAGATATTCTGTTTTTATCCTTTACAGTTTACAGTTGATAGTGCATGAAGTTTGCTCTCATGTTGTAAAAGTTAATGAAGTCATTTATGTTAAACCATAATGTTAAGGAATTCTGCAATTTTTTCCAGCAGTAGAAGAGGCCGCAAACTAATTGAATGAATGAATAAATGAATTAGGTTTTATTGTCACACGTACTCAAGTACAGAAGTACAGGAGTGCAGTGAAAAGTTTATAATGTCACCTCTCATGGTGCCATCTTAGTTACAAAGTACCTAGATACAAATCTTAGGTATAAAAAGAGGAATAAAGAAGAAAACATGTTGCATTACCTTAGAATGAATCATAGTATGAGTTAGAAATAGCACATAGTTAAAAGGATAAACATTACAGTCAGATAAACTGATTACAGAAAACCATTACATTGTAGTAGATCAGCTTCCACATGTGGTCTGACTGTCCTCTAACTCAAAGGAAGCGTTTGAAATAATGAAGAACTTAGAATATAATTACATTTTAAAAATGCCTTTCATCACATATTTACAGAATATAGGTAAAGAGAACAAACACCAAAATGATGTCAGCTGCATTGAGCCTTCGTGACCATTATAGTTTTGAGTTAAGAATCACAGAAATAAATGTTGTCACCACCCTAGACAGTTTGATAAATCTTTCCAGCAATGTTTATGAATGTATCTCATATCTCAATGCCAAACTTCTGAAAATTCAGTACAAAATGATTTCAGCATAGCACAAACAATTCTGAATGCGCTCCTAAGACATGGCACAGTCAATTATAAAATAGTACTGTTCTATTCCAATAGAATTTGACAACATTAATGTTACAGAGTTGATACTAATGCACAGTGTTAGGAAAATTCCAAACTCCACTAACCCAACTTGGGAGAAAATTTGCCCAAATAGTCAGGTTTTGGTTCAGAGGTCAGGGTTTAACTGATGTTGAGTCCATCACCCCCCAAAAACAATTCAAAACCAGTCATTGGAGTTGTCAAGTGCTGCTGTTTCCTGGCTGAAAGGCCTACCTTAGTGATCTGGTACTTTGACCGAATTATAATAAAAACAGTGAGGCTTGCTAGCCCTCACCCCTCATCCCAAACACACTCCCCATGCCCCAGCTTTGCTAAGACTAGCCACCTCAAATTCCAGTTCATTCCCACGTGGCCCTTTGTATACTGCATGCCAACCAATCCCCAAGGCCCTTCCTTATCCTATTGCTAACTTAGTGCTAACACATGCCAACCAATGACCCTCAAACATTTCAGTAGCCCCTTTGCCAAGTTTGTGGTAACTTATACCACCCATCTGCTTTTACCTTTACACCCATCATACCAATCAACTCAGAATCCACTAAAGGTAGATCTCAGGAGCAATGATGAGACAAAATTATATGCATGTGTTCCTTTAAAAAAATTCTATTTCGACTATTTTAAAAATCTCACTGATTAACATTCAGTCAATATGTTTCAATTCCTTCAAGTACTTAAACTCTTATAAAAACAAACATTTGTAGCTTACATCAAAGACAAGTAATTGATTTATATAACACCTGGAGCTTTCAGTCGAACTGTAAAATTACAGCCTCCATCCCCAACCCACTGTGATAATGATAGGTTGTGGAAATACTTAGACAGTACTGATTGTATAATGATAGAACTCATACTAATGTCAACAAACTGGATTTTGATTTTGCAAGCATTGATTTTGTTCTTCATCTGGGAAACAAACAAACTGATTTTCTTCAAAATTTAAAAGCAAAAGACAATGGATGAGATTCAATCTTGCACAAGTGTTATCCACCTGTTATGCATATTAATATCTACTCTTAAAAATCCTAAAACAGTACCTGAGCATTCCAAAGAGGTTTCTGACTGCTCCTTAAAACTCTTGTAGGTTTAGATGTTCTCCAATTTATAAAGCCCTCACAGCATGCTTCAGAAACCTGGGTGATAAAAATTGCTTCTCAATGAAGACAACTGCACTTATAGAGGTCTTTAAGAATCATGAATAAGTGAAACACATCCTTCTCCCTTCCAAGAAGGAAATGGCAAGCAAAATTGAAGGTTGTGGTTATTCCTCAGAACAGAGCAGAGGCGTTCTGCAAAGCAGTAGATTGAAAGAAGTACGGTATAAGGAAAATACTGCTTCACATGTTGTGAGGGGTCCTTTAAGAAAAGGTGACCGTAAAATGATAGACATCATCATTGCGATATGAAGTAAAGTATTCCAATCTGAAGTCCCAAATCTAAACAAAGGAAACCTGAAAAATATGACAGGCGAAAGAGAAAGGAGGGGCAAAGAAGCATGCAGATCTCCACCCAGCCCAGAAGCCACCATTCAAAAATTCAGTTTAAACCCAAAGAAAAACAGTTATGTTTCTTGCTGCTGTAAGCTGTGAGTTTTGATTTGATAAATCAGAGACATTTTCAAATTGAAGGAGTTACTCTGTATTTGTTACAAACCAGCGGAAGCAACCAGAGAAATACATCTGCACAACAAGCAGGCTGGCAAGCCAAAGGAGGATAATCTCAACATTAGTATTGGGAAGCAAAGTAACTGAGCTGATTTTCCTGTTTTATACCTTCACCAATAATCTCATAATTACCAATGAATGGCTGACAACTGTTTCTGCTGTGCTGTCAAAACCACATAGAGACCAAACACCCAAGGCCCCAACTACTGCTGGCCAAGGACAGAGTGACTCTTATCAAAGATAAAGAAGCTGTCAAAAAAACACTGCAGGAGCACTTCACAGATCTCTGCAATGAGGGCTGTGTTGTTGATCCGAGCATTCTTGAATGCATCCTGCAGGATACTACACGCCATGAGCACAGCAACACCCCAGTCTTGCACTAAGTAGAGAAGGCTATCTACTAGCTTGAAAATGACAAGGCTGCTGGAACAGATGGTATCCCCACTGAGGCATTGAAGTGCGGGGACGAAGAGCTCCTGCTGCAGCATCGTGGCCTTATCTACCTTAGCTGGAAGGAGGAGACCATCCTGGAAGAGCTCCGAGATGCCACAGTCGTGAGTATTTTCCGAAAAAGTGAACAAGTTGGACTGCGGTATCTACAGGGGAGTCTCCCTGCTGTCAACCATTGGCACTATCATCGCCAAGGTCCTCCTCAACTGTCTCCTCCCTGTGGTTGAGTAACTCTTCTTTGAGTCGCAGTGTGGTTTTCACCACTGAGGGGCACAACATACATGATTTTCACCACACGTCAGGTGCAGGAGAAATGCAGAGACAAGAACCTACCCATGTACATGGCCTTCTTTGACCTTTCAAAGGCCTTTGACAGTGTCATTTGGGAAGCATTATGGAGTGATTGCACTATGAAGTTTGTCACCATCCTTTGCCTGCTCCACAATGGTATGGAACTTGCGGTAATGACAAATGACTCCACCACCGGCCCGTTCCCCTTTCAGATTGGTATCAATCATGGCAGCATCGTCACCCCAATTCTGTTCTCGATCCACCTCGCTGCAATGCTTTACCTCCCCACTGACAAGCTGGAGTGGAGCTAACTTACAGAACCTGTGGGAAATTATTCAACCTCTGCTGTCTTCAAGCCAAAACCAAAGGCACCCCAACCAGTGTCACAAAGCTGCAGCACTCCAATGATGCTCATGTATGTGCAATTTCCGAGGATGTATTCCAGACCATAATCAGCACTTTTAGGGAGGCATGTGATAGCATGGAACTCACCCTGAGCATCCGCAAGACAAAGGTCCTCCACCAAACTGGCCCGACATTGTGGAGCAAACCCCGGATCATCCAGGTCTACAGGGACGCTTTAAAAAAACATTTACCACTTCCAATACCTCAGAAGTGTCCAGTTGTTTAAAGAAGCTATTGAGGAAGAGATCCAGCATCGCCTCTAGTATGTTAGCGCAGCCTTCAGTCACCTGAGGAAAAAGGTGTTCGAGAATAACAAGGTCAGATCCGACACCAAGATCATGGCTTATAGAGCTGTGGTGGTCTCCACCCTCCTGTATGGCTCTCAGACATGGACTGTCTACAGCAGACACCTTCAAGCACTAGAGCAGTACCACTAATGCTGCCTGTGCAAGATCCTGTGAATCCGCTGGAAGGAAAGACACACCAACACCAGCATCCTCGACCAGGCCAACGTTCCCAGCATTAAGGCAGTGACCACCCTTGATTGGTATTTTGGGTCTAGGCACATGGTCCGTATGACCAACACGAGACTCACCAAGCAACTGCTCTACTCCCAGCTTCAAAACGGCAGGGGTGCCCCAGTTGGACGGAGGAAGCATTTCAGTGATACCTTCAAGGCCTCACTGACGAAGTGTGGCATTCCCACAAACACCAGTGAATCACTGGCCCAGGATCATCTGGAAAGGCGTTGAGCACCTCGAGACCTACCATCAGGAAAAAATGGATGCCAGGCAAAAACAGCGAAAGGATTGCACTGCCACCCCAACACCCCATCCACCCCTTCCCATGTCCGCCACCTGCTCCATGTGTAACAGAGCCTGCGGTAGCTGTATCAGTCCATACACCCAACTACAGCCTCACTCTGAGAGTAGAAGAGAGCCATCCTCGTCTGTGAGGGACCACCAATGATGATGATTTTCCCTATTTGTTTGTCTTTTTGTATCTGTGTGCCTGTGGAAGTGGGTGTTTAAAAGAAAATTAGAGTTTTAGTTAGTAGTGTTATATGACAATAGTTTGCCTGGAGCTATAATCTAATTTATTGAAATAAATAATTCTTATGCAATCCAAAAACCTGGTACGTGTTTTTCTGGAAGTCAGGTAATTGGGGTGCTGTGTACGCTTTACTACAAACATTCACATTTGCTATGTCTCTGGGAATAGCTCGATGTGATTTATGGCAGGCTGTCACAGCGGGTTGTAACTGCTGCACTGGAAGGGGTATGCAAATACACAATGAGAATGTTTTCTCTGCAGACGCAACCAAAAAACGCAGTTGCAGAAAAATTAATGGGACTGAACTA